GAACGTTCCAGGGACGCTATTAGAGCACACGTTTCAGAGAAATACCAGGAAAGATGGGCTGATTTACAAGGGGCTTCAAATCACCGCTCCCTTACTATACAGCCACATTCCGTGTTCATTTCTGAGCCTGGTCTGTATCAGCTGATATTTAGCTCCAAACTACCCAAGGCCGTAGAGTTCCGCGATTGGGTATTCGAAAGCGTATTGCCCGCATTACGTAAGACGGGCAAATATGAAATAGACAAGCGCTTTAACGGCCCTAACAAGTTGGTCTTCAAAATAGAGAATGAATTCGACCTGCATAAAAAGGTGGTGGATTGTATCCGTAGGTTTTACCCCCAAATGCTCGTAACCCCTGGTCTAGGCGAACTACAGGATTCGGACGGCAAACGCATAAAGTGCTGGCAGAAAGGATATCAGCGCGGCCAGCCTGACCTCCTTATCTTGAACGCACACGTGCGATACCGTGGCTTCTGCATAGAGCTGAAGACTCCGAAAGGCAACGGGGCATTATCCGCGAATCAACGCTTATTGTTGCAGCAATACGAAGAAAATGGCTATAAGGTGTTAATAAGTAACGATTACGATGATATCTGCCGCGCAATAAGAGACTACGCTCTTGGTCTGCGTCTACCATGCAGATGGTGTTGTAAGCGCTTCAAATGCACGCAGACTTTGCAGACGCATTTGAGAATATTTCATAGAATATATGATCCGGCAAACGCASTGGCGTGATCTAACGGAGGGCAAAGCATATGAGATAAAAAATTACGTAGTCTTTGAAGATTTAAATCGCATGCGATTACTTCTCAAAGACGAACAGGGCGTGGAGTATTCGCTGTGGGCACCTGACAGAGTCCGGTACGTGATCCAGGGCGAAGAATTTACCCATCTGCGTTCACATGGTAAACAGCAGGGGCGTTGGGTCTTTGATATCGAAAGGAGAGTTACCCGGTCTCCTCTCTGTGGATAAGTGCGTCGGCGACAGTCCGCAGCGCTTTGGGATCGGCGCGGCACCAATGGTCCATAAAGTCGTCGCCTAAGTAGGTGCGACGGCAGTAGAGACAGTCGTACCTTCCTTTAAGGGAGAGGGTGACTTTTTTTTGATCTTCTTGGGTTGGTCAGCGCGACTTTAATGACCTGAACTTCAGGAAGTATGCAGTCTTCGGATATCTCGCAGGTAATGCAGTCCATATATTGAGACCCTTAAAGGAGAGGGCATGTTTTTATTAAATTCTTATTAAATGGTCAAAAACCCTCTTAGGAGGGGATTGATCATTATTAAATTCTTATTAAATGGCTGGAAACCCTCTTAGGAGGGGATTGATCATTATTAAATTCTTATTAAATGGTCAAAAACCCTCTTAGGAGGGGATCGATCATTATTAAATTCTTATTAAATGGTCAAAAACCCTCTTAGGAGGGGATCGATCATTATTAAATTCTTATTAAATGGCTGGAAACCCTCAAAGAGGAGACCTTATTATTATTTATTTCTTATTATTTATTATTAAGATATTATTAAGACATTAATAAGATAATAATAATTTAATAATAATCCCCGCGTACCCATTAATACGTTAATAAGATATTAATAAAATAATAATAATTTAATAATAATCGATCCCCCTCTTTGAGGGTTTTTGGGGGATTTAATAAGAATTTAATAAAAATAAGCCCCCTACTAAGAGGGTTTCCGACCATTTAATAGTAATCGATCCCCTCCTTGAAGGGTTTATTGATCCTCTACTTTGGGGGTTTTCATGGCCTCATCATGCCATTCCTTAACGCGATCCATGTGCTCTTTGAACGTAATTGGTTCCGCCTGCGCATAGAGGCACTGCCACAAATGTTGTCCATCCCTCTTACAACCACACCGCTCACAATCCGCTTCCCAATATTCCCTATCTTCCCAGGGCACGCCTTCCACGCGGTCAAACATTGCAAAGCGCATATCTATTTGCTTCTTTCGACGTATTAACCGCACCTTGGTTTTCTCAGGGCAACAACGGGCCGCRATATCGCCGTGACGCTCACACGCAATGCCGTCTAATTCGTARCGCGTTGAACAACGTAAACGATGCCAACTCTCATCTTTATCCTCCTCACAACATTTACAGACGTTCTTCAGGCATACCTCCTTATCCAAGTGATATCCTAACATCTGCTTGCTGCTGAACAGACGACTACATCGTTCACAGCGCTTTTCTTTTGACTTCATACAGACCTTTCTTTCTATGTGGTATTTAAGCATTTGCTTGGTGCTGAACTCCTTATCACAATATGCACACTCCATATATAATAAGAATTTAATAATCCTTATATGGGATACCTCTTGAAGTCCACGACGGACTCCTTAGCCCACGTTGCCATCGTTATCAGCGCGCCAAATCGTTCCGCGCGCTTCAGGCCGCAATTTTCCTCATATAACTCCTTTACGCGTTCATTCAGCCGGTCTATCTCCTCCCTTTGCATTTCGACCGTCCTTTTCAGGTCTGACTTTTCTTTGACGACGTTAATCATTGCTTTGACTGCTTCCACGGGCTCCATATATACCAGGCAATAAATTGCCTTCTAGAAGCAAACTTCGTTTGCTGAAATATAATGGAACCGAATCACATGCCTTGTAACGCTCTGATAGTAGGACCCACCGGCTGCGGAAAGACCCAGTTCGTCGTGGAGCAGCTATTAGGACCCTTTAGATACCGTTTCGACTATATCGTGCTACTTTGCACCACCTATGTGAATAACCGCACCTGGACGGGCGTAGGCGCGAAAGATGACGACTTCTTTGTAGATATCTTAGACCCTAACGAGTTATCTGGGCATCTTAAGTTCTGGCATAAACAATTCTCGTCTCGCGAGGCTCGACGAGTGAGTACACAGACACTCCTTATACTGGATGACATTGCCTGTGGGGAAGACGTAAAAAGACGCACTTCCGAGCTTGTTAAACTCGCCTTTAGCGGCAGACATGACAATATCAGCGTTTGGTTGCTCTCGCAGCAGCTTACCAGCGTCTCTAAGCCTTTCAGGGAAAACATAGGTTCACTTGTCGTATTTTATACTCCAAGTAAGTCAGACTTTGAAACCATCTTAAGCGACTACGGCGGTGAAATATCCAAGGAACAGTTGCATGAATACATGCGGCATCTAAAGACGCACCAACATTCTAAGATGATCTTCTCTTTGAGGTTTCCGTACGAGGTAAAAATCTCCGATCTTTAACTCCTAATGTATATGGAGATTGAGCAGTTGATAGATGAAGTCCCCACACAGCTAGATGAAAGTAACCTTAAGGAACAACTTAACAACCTTGTGTCATCTGGGAAGTGTAAGGAAATGATAGGCAAGGAACTTACCCATGAGCAGGTAAATAAGTTGTCAGAAGAGGAGGTTAAGAAGTTCCATAAAAGGTACGAGGCTGCCCTTGCGAGTAAGACCACGGACGCCGTAGCAGACTCCGCTATCAAGCTGGCCACCAAGCTTCTCGGACTTGCACTGCCCATAGACGACGTGGAGCAACTGCGGAAGGACATAAGCGAGGACTACGTTATTGCTCAAGAACTTAAGATAACCTGTGGGTGGTTGTCTTTGAAGTGCGGTAAGTTAATGGCGGTCGCCTCTGCGGCACTTCACGTAGCTCAGCACGTCGACTTGAAGGATGTACTGGTGTCTTGGAAGGACTTCAAGAAGGACAGAGACGTTGAAAAGGTGTTTAAGGCAGCACTTGCCGAGGTACCTGATCAAGTCGCCTCATGTACTTAGTCAAGTCATCCTCAGGTCGCCTCAAGTACTTAGTCAAGTCGTCCTTAAGTACTTACCCAGGTCACCTTAAGTTACCTGTCAAGTCCTTCAAGTCCTTAGTATAAATGAGTGAAGCACCAAGCGCAGAGCAACCTCAGGAGGAGCAAAAGATCACCAAGGCTAAGTCCCCAGGCAGAGTCGCTGC